AAACGACTCTCTTCTCTCTCTCTCCCCCCCCCCCCCACCCTTCTCTCTTTTTTTTCCTTTCTCTCTCTCTCTCTCTCGTTCGTATTTCAATTTTGCTTTAGCTTTTGTGTGCATTGTTGTAATTACTGTTTTTGCTTGGGTGTGTTGGTAGACACGCGAGATTCTTACACCATTCCCTGTGGCCTTCCCGCAACGGGCCTCAAAGGGTGGCGGGGCCAATTAACATGCCCGCGTTTCTGAGAAGGCGTGGCGGTCCGCGTGGTGTGTTTGTGAACACAAAGTGGTAGGCGCCGCAGGACACGTTTGGAGCCAAGTCATTGGCAGCGATGTATTTAGTTGTATGTTTTAAATTTTACCACATCGGTCTTTGGTGGCGGGGACGGTGTGTCACCGACGGGGATGTATGCAGATGGTGAATGAAAAGTAGATGGGCACAAAAGATACTATAATAAGAGAGAGGAGAGAAGCAAAAAAAAGGGAAAAAATCAGAAAAAGTATAGTTAAACCAAAGGTGTGGCTTGGTGGGAATAATAATTTTTTTCTAACTGGTACGTTGGTCGTTTTTTTTTTTTTGCGCCTATCAGCGGTTATGGTAGAGTTTTCTCTTGTGCGTGTGCGTTCTTTCTGTGGAGTGGTGTGTGTGGGGGGGGGTTGTGTGTTGAAGCGCGTTATTGAAGGGTAAGGCGAGGGCGCGGTCCTCATTTATATGCACAGCAGATTCTTCAAGGAAACCGTCCCCCTATATTATTTTTTTTTTGCTTTACTGTCTTTTTTTTTTTTGCTGTGGTGTTCTTTTTTTTTTTTTTGTTTGTTTTCAGCGTTATTGCAGCGCAGTGTGATGATGCGGTGCCGGTGTGTGGCGGTGCGTGTGGCTCCATGGTGCGCACGCACGTACCTAATGCCTTGCTTGCACTCGCACAGGAACTATGCTTTTCAGTAACCCTCTCATTCCATTTCACTCTCTCATTATTGCCATGATTTCCCTTTTGACGCAGTCTCCCGCCGTTTTCTGTATTTATACGCGTCGAAGTCACAGGTTTCTACGTGTTTTTGTTTTTGTTCTTTTGCATGATCTCCGTCTTATCAGAAGTGTGCTTGAATTGCAGGAACGGGGGAAAAGGGGGAAGGGACAGGGACGTGCGAGTGTAAGAGAAGCTAATAAGGGGAGGGGGGACGGCAATTTAAACGTTTCATTCTTGGCATGGCAATGGCGCGAGGGAACTTACCCCCCTGAGTCTTAATATGACACCATCGGTGTGTCTCCGGTGCTTTATCCACTACTTTTTGTCTATGGTGTGTTTGTTTGCCCGTTTCCTCTCGTTGTTTGGGAAGTGCCGCTCTCGCAGCACTACGCACGTGTACATGGGGGCAAACAAGAAGGCGGGGGTGGGTGTCCTGCAAGTGGTGCTGGCTAGAAGACGGCATGGCGTTGGTGGTGGGGATCACGGGGCCCGCCAGCCTGCTATGGCTTGGTCCATGATTCTGCTTCAACTATTATTTTTCCTTGGGCTGACGATGTCGTGCTGCGGAGAGCAGGTGAAGAGCACGAGAAAGTTGCTCACCATGGGGCTTGTTGCAGACACCCACTACGACACATTTCCAGTGGGGGAGAAGGCACCGTGGGAGACGATGCGTCATTGGATGCGTGAGCAGCGCAAGCGAACGACGACGACGACCCTGCGCCGCTACGATGTTGCAAAGGACAAGCTTGACGAGGCCATTGCGTTTTTTAATCGTGTTCCAGACATGAATGTGATCGTGAATCTGGGGGATCTTGTTAATAACGACTTGATGTGGAACTTGAGGCCCATCCTGGACAGCTTGAACCGGGCGAAAGCACCACACTACAGTGTTTTGGGCAACCACGACCTTCGTGCCCATAATGACCGCTTTGGAAAAACAAATAAGACACAGGAAGCGTGGCTCATGAGAAAACTGGGGCTGCGCCGCTGGTACTACACAATTGACCACCCACCGTTTCGTTTCATTTTTTTAGATTCCATGGCAAATGATCCTGAAAATACCAACATGACCACAAAAGAGGCACAAACGAAGTGGCTGGAAGAACAACTGCACGCTGTTAAGGCTGCCGGTCGCGTGGCAGTTCTCTTTGCTCATGTTCCCATTGGATTTGAAACAAATCGACTAGGACCGCTCTTAAAAGCGTATGAGCAGATGCCCTTAGTGTTTTCTGGGCATAATCACAAGGGGGACTACACGGTTCAGGGGACGCATCGCGTTCACTGTGTCACGCTGGAGGGGCAAATTGAGACATTGACCAATGCGTTTGCAGTGGTGGAAGTGTTTGAAGATCGTGCAGAGCTGACTGGGTTTGGTCGTGTTCCGTCGCGTATCATGCGCTTTCAGCCCCACGTCGTGAAGCTGCTTCAGGCGTATCATGGGCCACTGCAGCACAATTTGTCATCTCAGGGATGCCAACCCCCTTCGGCTGAAGAACTTTGGGCGAGCGAGGTGCTGCAGCGTCCACCTACTCTACAACTGAATATCCCATACTACAGGAAGCCAGCGCTTTCACCAGCGTTGGCACAGTCCTTTCCAAGAACACGTTTCTACGTTGAGCTGATGACCTGGCCGGACACGAAACAAACGCATACTATTCGTGTTCCGGAGGAACCTGTGGATCTTACTTCTGCGACAAAGCGGCGCACACTACTTATCAATGGCACATTTGTCGAAGGGGCTCCTGTAGCAACTCGCCAAATTTCCGCTGTTAACGCGAATTCCATGAATCTTGGGAAAGACGTGTCTCAAGCAGGAAAACAAGTTTATTTAAAGAGTGTGGACGTGAACACGCTATGGGAGAAGGAATGGATCTTTATTCTTGCAGTATGGTTCTTTTTGCTGGCGTTCACCCTGGTGCTGCTGTGGAGTGTCAAGCGGAAAACCCACGCAAGACGCGGGGTATGAGGTGGTGTATATTACATGAACTGAAAAAAAAAGGCACAGCAAAAGGACAAGTTCCCCCGTATTTTACACATTTTTTTTTGTTTTGTTTTGGGTGTGTGTGTGTGGGAGAGGGGGATGAGCTTTCCGCTTCTTCACACAGTAACGGGCGTAGGTGGGCAGGTCCGATGGTGTGAGGGAATCACTTGGCGGGTTCGGTCGTGTCCGCGGTTGGGATACGCCTGCTGCGATGACCCACCCAGTATTACAACACCATGCGGAAAAAGAAAAAGAAGACAAATGTAGGTGGGAGTTACGGTAAGGCCGGGAGTCACGGCCTTTCTCCTGTAACATATTTTCCAAGCTGCGTGTGGACGGAATTGTGCAACAAGTTAGGGCTACACCGATGATAAAGTGTTGTGTTAAACCTCAGTGACTCTTTTTAAATTATTATTTCCTTTATAGTGCTACCGCGTTGGAAGGCATAGCAAATGCAGTTTTGTTGTTGTAGTTTTCCTTTCTTTCCGCCCCATAATGCCTTTCACGCGGAGGGGCGTGACTGCTGCGAAGCCGTGCAGACTCTGCCGCTTCGCCGTCTCTCGACGAATGTAGTTCGTACACAACGCCTCTTTGAGTTCAGCTGGTTCTTGATTCATTAGCATCTTGGATGAATCTCCTCTCCCGTGGTGGGTGATGGGTGAAGTGGAGTCATGCTGCTTCTCTGCCTTTGTTGTTACTCTTGCTCTGTTTGTACGAATAGAAGGCACAGGACTTCGGCCAGGCGCAGCTTTTTTTCAGCTTTGAAATCCCCTTTTAAACCACATACTGAGGTCGAAACGGAGAGGGTGTCAGTTTTTGCACGAGACCAATACAGTTATGCGTACGCGTGTGGATCGTTCCGTTGACATCTTCATTGCCCTACATCCATGCGTCGAAGATACTTCAGAGGAGAGAACGGGTGACACGTGTTGTACCAATGATATGGCGCCAGAAGAAGGTTGTGGAAGCATGGCTCGCCCTAACAGGATGCCATGTATAGTATTGCCTTCTTCTTTACAAGTTCAGGGGAGCGGAACACATATATTGTTTCACAATGGCTGTATTGATCATCGTTCCATTGCAACTACGCTGGGTGACGCGGCGTGGGAGGAGTTACGGCGGAGTGGTACATTTTGGTTTCTTTCCTGCGTTCCCCCTCATTTGTCCGCAAAGGGTGAAAGTCAGGCCTTGAGTGGACTGGGCGAGGTGGAGGCATTCATGCTGCAGGACTTGACAGGACGAGTGCTAGATGTTGCTTCCTCGCCACTGGAAGTGTCTGTAATACAATGGATGGAGGGAGGGGCTGTGTCTCATACGGCGGGTGAAGATGAGTTGCCCTGGCGATACTCGAATGAAAGCAGCGGTCAATTTATGGGCGTGCAAGCAGTAGTCGAATTTGTGAAGGAACGCCTAACGGATACGGAACACGAAGCAGCAACGTTTTGCTTTCATTTAGTAAGCATTACATTTCTTGATTCTAGGTGTGCACGCACCAGTGAGATTGTTCTGGCGGGTGTGAACGCGTCTTTTGAGGCCTTGCCAACAAGTAACTCCCGAGCACTCGTCGCGGTGCGTTGCTTGTTTGCTAATGCAGCTTCTGCTGTGTTGGGACACTCACAGCCCCAGGGGCACGGCAGTTGTAGTATTCCTGAGCTTAACGCATGGACCTCACAAATTCTACCAGAAGAAATCGTCAGGTTTCTCATTGTACGACGCTTGTATTCCACAAAGAGAGTAAATGAGGAAGAGGTGGAGGAAGAGCGAGAAAAAGAGCCTTGTCAATTTTGTTTACCGTCAGTACGCGTGGTGTATGCCGTTCTGGAAATAGATGAAAAGGCGCTTCTCCATCGGGACAAGGAGGTGCGTACCGACCACAGCACATCAGCGCCACTCCTGCGGTATATCTTCTTCTGGTGCGCACTGGGGGCCCTCGTGGTCACGGATGACGTTGATGCTGACTGCGATACCACCGATGGTCGTGATAACAACGCCATGAATGGCACTCAAGATAACACATGTGGTATGGATCCACGACAAGGCCCAGCTAATGGAGTAGGAAATGCCAAGGAGTGGCTACAAAAATTGCTTATCGAACCTTTGCTTTTTTCTCGGTTAATGGATGGCTGGCGTGATGGAGGGGGAGGTGATGAAGTGGTCTGCTCCACTCGACGCCTTCTCACTGCTCTTGAGCAGTCGCACCACGTGGCAAACTGGGTGAGGGAAAAGGGGTTGCAGCGACGGGTGCGGGGTCTTGTTTCGTCTGCGGTACATCCATCTATTTCTGTAGGCGATGTGCTGAGTCTTTATAGCGCGGAAAGTGACGCTCTTACTTGGTGTCAGCGGCTGGAGTGGGAGTATTACACCGCGCTTGGGGATCTTTTTGCGTCGCGTGCTTTTCCGTCGGGGTGCCTTGTCGCAACTAAACCGAAGCAGCATTGTGACGCCTCCGTTCAGTGTCCAGAAGCATCAAATCCACTGGACAAAAGCAGGGAAATGGAAATGACGCTGTTGAGGCATGAAAGCTATCATGAAGGCCCTTCAGAGCCTCCTCCTGAAGGTATTACGAGCGTGGAGCCCCGTACGTTAGCTTCCCCCTGTGAAGAGTTGAGTTATTCGACAGCATGTTTCTCACCACATGAACGAATGCTGCAGTCACTGTTAGTGTCATCGGGTGACCTATCTCGTCGTTTAATTGAAGCTGAGGCCGTTAGAAGACTTTTGATTGAGTTTCGCGCTGCAGAGTGTATGGTGTCCATACTGTTTTCTCTTGCAGATCAATGGCAACGCTGTCATGTAAAACAAATAAATTTGCCCAGTAAGTTGTGGCTCACGAAGGAGGACGAAGACGAGGAGGTGGAAAAAGCATGGCAACATGCCTTGCGTGGACGTCACGGCGAGCTTCACTTGCAGTCGGGGTTGCTACGAGAATATACCAATATGACTGAGGGCATCTTTTTATTGTTGCTAGACAATGTCGAAGAGAAGCTCTTGTGCTTCATGGACGCTGCAGCTGCTCCAACGCGAGAGAACAAACTGAACTTACTTCGTGTTTCCCCCTTCAAATGCATGGATGCAACCGTGCGGACGACGATGCTGTCTAATGAGCGTCAGCCGGCGCTTATGTGTGGAGACTTTCCTGGATCTGAGTCATACATTTTTTCCCAGAATGACAACTTTCATCAGCAGCTATCAGCTGAAGTGTTACCAACGATGAAGTCAGTCGATGTATTCGAGGATGGGGGCTTTCACTTGCAGCGGCGGCTTGGCGAGGAGGGTGATGCACCGACGATGGAGGGCGGCACACTGAGTGGGCCATCCCCGCATCCTGTGGAAGATGCTGCGAAGGACTGCTGCGAAGACGGCAGGGCCGTTGTGAAGGATAAACGCCGGGTGCCGATGACAGAGAGGGATAGTTTGGTGTCTTTTTGTCTGAACCGTGTTTGCCGCCACGGAGACACGTTGAATGAGGTTTCATCTGGACATCGTCATCGGCTCTGCCGTGCCAACACACGTGGTTCCGCGCAAGATCCGCTTTATCGCCGACTGCTTACTACAGGAGGCGTCAAGACTGTTGCGGACCCTCAAGCTACTTGCAAGGGGCCGCTACCTGCCCTAAGCTTTTCCGATATTACGAAGGAGAGTGCAGGTTGGTCAGAGTCGCAGGACCTCGACGATTTTAGGAAACTGTTTGCGTACGGTATTTACGTGGTGGGGGCGGCCGGGAGTGGGAAATCGAGTTTAATATGCGCTCTCTTGCGTGAGGCGTCCCTGGTTGCTCCTCCTCCAACGGTTGAGCTGCACACAATGACTATCCGGCGAACCTCAACAATCGTTGAGGTGCCTTTTCCGAAGAACCCACTCCCCCTGGGTGGCCACTGCAACGCTACACCGTCCAACCTGCAGCAGTGGATGAATGCCGTTGAGGAGGGAAGTGCGGCGCCGTCTCGGGTTTGCGTGAATCTTGTGGAGTTACCGGGCCCTTTTTTACTCGTGGCCAGTAGAGGATGTGTGAAGCTGCCAATCCGAGGTGTTGTGTATTGCATTACCTATCATCTGCAAGATGACTGGGAAGTGACAAAAGAAACGATATGGCAACATGTGCTTACGCTCCAGTATGCTGTGGCGATGCCAAGTTCACATGTTGCCAATGTGCGGAGAAGCGACACCGACAACGCGAACGACGCACGTGATGAGGCGTTGCATTTGCCGGTGGTGCTTGTCGGCACTCACGCAGATTCCATCGCTGGTCTGCCTTCTACGGAACGGCTTGCTGCCGCGCAACATCAATTGAATTGCCTTCAACGGTGGTTTGAAGAACGTGTTGAGCTGCAGAAGGGATCTGCTGAGAACCACCTACTACCGCAGCCGATGCTAGTCGATTCCTGCCTTACGAATACGTTCAACTTTTTATTTATTTCTGATTACTCAAATAATAGGACGGCATTTCAGACGCTTTTTCATCGGATGCTGCGATTTCTTCACCACACTGCGCCATTGAGCCCAATACACCTCTTGGCACGGTGGCTTCCTCAACGCCTGCTCTTTCCGCGTGAAACTCCGGTTGAGGCGGTCAGTGAAACTGCCGAGTCCACGGAGTTGAGAAAGAGTTATCCCCATTTAATGATGAGTGGGACACTTGAGGGGTTTTGGGAGCTCCAACGTCACCGTGGTGTTTCTGCCGCAGCAATGGAAAAACAGTACTACGAAGGGGACCATGAAGATGGGAAGGCGCAACAGATTTCTCTTCCTGCCCCCATCTCCCCACATACACTGGGGTTGTGGTGGAGCCGCAGTTCAGCAGGGCTTCTTGTTCTCTTTACTGCCCTCCAACGGTTGCGGCAATTTGTTTCTTGTTGCTTTGACGAGCAATCCTTGGAAAACGCGGTGCTCTACCACCTGGGCTTTGTTTCTCCAGATGCTCCTGATGAAGTGGATGTGGGTGAAGCAATGGAACCTTTTCTGTGTGAAAGGGATGTGTTTCTGGAGGCGCTACTGGAAGAGTGTCGGCTTCGCGGTGTGCTCTTGTTTCTTTCCTGCACTCTAGCCAATTCCCTGGAAGAGAAGGGCTGCGAGAGTGACCTGGGTTATGTCCACAACCCATCCCCCTCGAGGTCGCTGCCTCAGCGACTGTGCATGGTGATTCTTGGTCCAGAGTGGGTGGAGAATATCTGGTCAAAGACGTTAGCACCACAAATGGTTGTCTATCATACCATGTCTCTGTTACGTGGTTCTGAAAGCATTCTAACTGATGCCTTGAGTAACATTTTTGGGTATTGCGAGGAACAGCTTGGCATCGCATTTACTGCAGCAGACTTCACAGCAGTGTGGCCGCAGTTGTCTCAGATTTTGTCAACGGCCTCCGCCGAGGCTGCGGCTGACAACATCAACACTATATGTGACTATTTCTATCAATACCTTACACGAGGCTCTGTTTCCTTGGCGCTTCTGCAGTTCTTATGGGGCCCACCGTATAACATTCTTGCGACAAATGAAATGAGCGCTAGAATGGCTCTTGTGGGAAGTGGATTGGCACGCAGAAAGGTGAGAAATGAGCGCGAAGTATCAACTGATGATCAAGATGGACTGATGCAGTTGTATCTGCCATCTGCTGTTTTGACGAACAGAAGTTTATTATGTGCGTATGGTGACTAAAAAAAGTGAAGTGTCGTCTCTATTTTATTTTCTTTTTTCTTTTTTCTTGTTGTTATTATTATTATTTATTTGTAGCTGCCCACTTTACGTGACATGACCATCGAATTAATTATTGTATGATGTTTGTTGTTTGGTTGATGTGTGATATATTTATTTATTTGTTTGTGCCCTTTGTGTAGTTGTGTTTGGTCCGTTGCATTCGCCGCAGTGGTATCGCTGACGAGGAGGGCGGCGGAGAAAAGAGTACGTGAACGTCGGAGGGAGCGAGGGGGGCCTCTGCGCCTCTTGGGAGGTCTAACTCTTCCTTACTTGCACACGCACAAGTACTCTTTCTCTCGTCTTACGTTGGTGTGCGACTATCCTTTTATCGTTTCCACTTTTTAAGGATATTCCCGTGTTTATTTCTCTTTCTTTTTACTATTTGCTTTTACTTTTCTCTCGTTTCAGAAGATTGTCTGAAATGTTGTCGTGTTGTGGCGATCGTTCCGACTATTTGGGTGTTCTCGTGATGGAGATTGCCAAACTCATGGAGGAACGGGCCTACAGGCGCTACATGCTACCCTGTTTGTCGGCAAGGCAGCGGGCGCATCTTTGGGCGTTGCGGAGTCAGGCGCTATTTGGCGATGCACCCAGTGACAGCGAATGTCCGGGTCCTAATGGACCGGAAAAAAATGGTGAAACAACGCAACAGCAAATAAACTCTACGAATGTGAAGCAGGTTGGAAAAACGGCAATGCCCCATCGGCCACCACATTGGTATCAATTCACAATGCGTTTTTATTACTCAGCGTGGGTTGCGCTGCGGGGGACGATGACGCCGCAGCTTGCCGGTGAGGCTCTGTGTACCGAGTTTTTTTATCTACTCAAGGTGCATAACGTCCCTGCCATGCTGCCTCTCATGGAAGCCGTCCTCAACGCGGCCCGCGCAAAGGCAATGACATTCAATTTTACAGAGAAGAAGCAACGTAGTTTTGGAGGTGGTAGCACTCACAACCCCGTAAGGGCGAGTGACGGCTTCTACGTTCGTGGATTCCACGGGGACCCTATAGTGATTGCATTTCTCTGGCTCTGCCGGGCTCAATCGATCCCGTGTGAAGTAGAATTTGAGCCGTTATCGTCAAAGCTGCCGCACGGCGACGAAGATTTGTTTCTCGTCAAGTCTTTGGCCCAAAATGTGGTGCTGACTGAACCTTTGGCAGCATTTGTTCTCTGCGTTGAGCTATATCTGCCCCAAATTGGGCATTGGCTGGGGGAACGTGCTCCCTGTGCTGCGTCTTCACCCCACACAACGCGTGCGCTGCAGAAAAGTGCCTGGATAGAGTACATGCATCACATTTTGGTGGATCTTCGAGCCCCACTTCTGCATTTTATGCGGGAAGTGGCTCAACAAGAGAAGCAGCATGGAACACCGCGAGGACCTCCGTCCTCAAGGGTCCGTTTAAGTGACCAAGCGAATACATCAGGCGGTGCTCCATCTGGAGTGTTGCAACGGCGTCGAGAGCTGTCTAAAGCCGCTATGAAGTTACTTGCACGTTATGAACGGTTTGCCCAGCACTACTGTGCAGCCCATCCGCAGAAGATAGTGTCCGTGGCAGAGTTGTGCGTTGCTGCCTACAGTTTTGTTATTTGTACAAGTCCGCTTTGTAACGAATTTTTTACTTTACTGGAGGCGGTGCCATCGGCTCTGGGACAGACTGGAGTGCACGCAGCACTACCCCATAGTTACCGCCTTTCGCTTTATGGGGACGGCGAATCGAAGAAATCGCTAGCTGTATCTTCGCAGGATACGATGGCGTTGCTTGGTGGTGTCCCGAAACCCTACCGGGACCTCGCGACGCGCATCTTGCACGGTGCCGTCTCCGTGCACTCCCCTTCTGTTACGGTTCGCATTGGTGGCGATGACGAAAGAAACAAAAATAGTCATTTAGGAATTAAAAAATCGGCATTTTCGAGTGATTGGCTTCTTCGCCTCGATTCAGCCTGGGATGGACTTGTACCCGGTGCGAATGAAGCCGCTATGCTTGTTATTGATCGATTGATTAAAGTCACATGCGCCCCGTTTCGGCAAAGTCTTGAGGAGATACTTTCGCAGGCATGGAGTACTGCCAATGAACAGTGCATAGGTTTCCCGTTCCTCGTACTGGATAAAGAACATCAAAATTTTGTCACGACACCTACCGCCCATCCTGTCTCCATGGCACCTCATGAGGCCCCGTGGAGGGAGGGGAGGGCCGCGGATGTTGTACGAGGGTACTGGCTAAAGTTGCGCGCTGCATTTGATTCATCTCAGTCATCCTCTGAACGCAGAAATTACAGGAGCTCTGCAGCGAAGCTATAAAGATTGGTACGTGGTGTTGTTAGTGACTGTTGTTTCTGTTATTAATACATTCGTGGTCTGTACAATTCTTCCTTTGTGTTGTTGCTTTGAGATCACAATTTTGTATTTGCTCCAATATTGGGGGTGCCCCTCTGCAGGACACCAGAGGGGACGGGGGATGCATGGAAAGCAAAAATACAAGATACAAAAGTGTCTATGGGGGAAGGAGGAAAATGTTGTTGTCGTTGTTTTTTTTTTTTTGTGCGTGCGAAAGGACAGCTAAAAGGATCCAGGTGCCACAGGCTGCACATCCCTGCCACCATACAAAAATAATTTACCATGGAATGTATTTTTTATTTTTATTTTTGGTTGCTGTTGTTTTTGTTGGTGCTCGTGCCGCAGCTTGTGGTGATTAGTCCTGTTATTATGATGGCTATTATTACTATTATTTCCCTCCGGTCGCAGGCTGGTGCCTCTGTACCGCTGTATTGCCGCATTTTACGGCTCACTCCCCCGGTTGCTAGAAAAGGGCGCGTTGGGGCGGCGTCTGGAGAGTGGTAATAGGGATACTGGATGTGGTTGTAGTTTCGATTATCCGCGCCGCACCATGGCGTATTTGCGCTGGGGCCGTTGGTAAAGCACATTACGTGTGCGGGCATGCATGCATGCATGAAGTGCGCTGGAGATCATTCCTGTTCTGCTGTTGTTTTGTTTTCCTTCGCTTCGTCCGCCCCTTTACATATGATCTTTCATGGCTTCTTCTTTCCGGCTTCAATAGATTTGCACTCCCCTCCCCCTCTCTCCCAGTGTTTCTTGCGCAGGCATAAATAAAGGGGAAGAGCAAGAAGGAAAGAAGGAAGGAGTTAGTTGTTGTTGTTTTACGTGGGGGTGGTGACGGTGAAAAAAAAAATGTCATTGAAGGTGCGTGACTGCACTAGAATCGCCGTTGCGGTGGCGCTTGGCTACATTGCCTACCGCGGGGTGTGGAGTTTTCTGCGGAATGAGATCACCATAAGCGTCACGGAACTGGTGCAGCTGCCGCCCAGTGAGAGGCTGCTGGAGTTGGATGAGCAGACACCACTGCAGGGGGAAATTCGGTGCGAAACATATTTGATGCGTAGCTACCGCTTTCTTATGCGGCTCTCTGCCAACGTCAAGGGCGTCTCCACCTCGCCTCCGGCCACGTCGCACTCTCGCCACCGGGTCATTCATGCAACAGAAAATACTAGCTACAGAACCATGATGTCGCATGGTATAAGTAAGAAGCGGGAAGGACTTCCCAACGTTACCGTTCATGACGTACACAGCATGGTGGATTACTGGGAGCTCTCGCCAAACGGCAACGTCTGCTTTACGCCCCCTTGCATAGGAGATGAGCTACTGATGTGTTATGAGGCATCAGCAAAAGCGGGTCATCCAGTGAACGCCGTGGTAAAGAACTGTTACCTACAAGCGGATGAAAGACCGGGCCTAAAACGTTTATCCTTTGACTTTATGGTGTACGATATTGTGCATGCGGCGAAGATACGCATTGCACTTCCCAATCGCTACTGTGACGTTGTTACGATTCACACCGGTGGTGTGGGCCTCGTTCAACAGCCAGATGCAAGGAAGCCGCACCACTTTATTTGGGATATAGGCAATGTGGACGAGACAACGTGGAAGAAGGTCAAGTCCCTGGCACCTGATGTCCTGCCGGAGGGTCGGCTTGCGCGTCGCGGTTTCACCGATGACGACTTGGCGGTAGCTGTAGAGCGACGGAAAAGCGGTGAGAATAGCGAGGTCATGGCTAATAGTTACCAGCTTCCCAACACCATGGATACGAAACTGGAAAGCAGGAGTGAGAGATGTGACGGAGACACTCCCGTGGATACGGATGCTAAAAGAGGGATGCTTGGCACACACACAAGTTCCGGGCTTCCTGAAGGGACGCAGCTTCTTATTGCACACTTTCTTATTGTTTTTGAGGAACCTGATGGGATGGAGTACGACTATGTCTCGACTGACTCGGAGCTGAGCGAAGGTGAGAATGAAGGTGGCGAGTGTGACGAAGCAAGGCGGCGAACAGGTGACACTCGGTCTTCGCGGGCTACAGTCAGCACGGGTCGTAAAGCTGCAAAGCGTGAGAGCCGCGCTCCTAAGAGCAAAATGGTGCGTTACAGTGCTGATTCGTTACTCACCTTGGGACGGGGCGTGTCCACCAGCGTACCGGCCGTTGAGCTTTCCTACAGCGTCGGTGGACTCGTCTCAGGTGTCACGGTGCGTAAGCTGCAAACCGTGAGTGATCTGCCAAACTGGATTCCACGATCAATGCTTGACCGCTGGCTGCTGCGGTGGATGGTGCCCGGCATTCACCAGCTGCGGCTTGGTAAGTATGCCCAGTACAACTCATGGTTTGTGCAACCCATTTCTGTCACGTCACTTTGAAGGAGTCCTACGGCCAGCGACCAAAGTTGCGAACCCGTTTAAGTCATGCACAGGAAAGAGATAAGGAAAAGACAGGTGACTACAACATAGAAGGAAAAATGGAGGGATAAGACACAATTCTTGCAGCGGAGATGGAGTGAGGGGGTTGTGAATGCTGGGCAATTTTCGTAGCGGAGCCCCTCCACAACACTCCGGATTTGTTTAGCACTCTCAAAGAGTCACGAATTGTTTTGTTAGTCTCAAAAATAAGAGGAAAAAAGAAACGTGTGTGTGTGTGTTCTTTGTTTTGCGATTTTGTTTATTAGTATTACCAGCCATTCCCATTGGGAACTGGTGGCGTATCGCACACACACACGCACACACATCGCTGCAAAAGGCACACAGACATGTACCGAAGCAAGATTTCAGATGTTCCGAAGAAAGAGGTCGCTCTCATCGCAATTAGTCTCACGCGGTGAACATTTTTTTTTTCTCTTTTTGCTATGGACTTGGATACGAGAGACGCCAGCAGCAGCATTCGCCCCGACAACAACACCGCCCTCGTCAAGAAACAAAATGGGGTAAGCAGGGATCAAAAGGCTCTTTCCCCTTGTAGCTTGCCGCTGGGCAGTAGGGATGCACCCACTGAGTCTAAATGACGAGGGATAAATATTTAAAAAAGGGACGGTGGGAGAGAAGAGAGGGAAAAAGAGAGGGATGTAGGATGACCTGAAGCAAAGGCATCTGGTGTTAGTTGGGGTGAAAACAGATTTAGAGGTTAAGAGAACAAGATTTTAGGGAAGACGAATGTAGAAGAGATCAATAATATTTATCTTCAGGTGGGTGCAAGGTGCGGTTGAATGTTGGTGCTATTTGGTTTCGTTTATGAGTATGTGTGGTGTGTGCAAGTGGGTCGTGAAGGATGTCGTGGCATGCGCATGGCTTCAGGTTTTTTATTATTTTGTTTTATGCTCGATTTGCCTGCTTGGTTTCTGCTGTCATGTATTTACCTTCACAGTTCAAGTGCATCTGTCAAGTTGTTGTTTTTTTTTTGCTCTTGTTCCGGGTTGGCCGTGTAATTGTTCCCCCGCTCTTTTTTCCAAGCATCAGCGCTTATTAATTCATTTTGTCTTGCTTCACTTTGGAGGTCGGAAATTATCGTCGTTTTTGTGACCTCAGCGGAAATGAGAAGAACTGTGGCGGCTGAGGAAGATGGGTGATCGCTTCTCTTCCTCTCTCTTTTCTTTGTGGGTGTTTGTCCACCGACTACCGCCCTGACAATGGGGGGAGGGGGGGAGTTGTCAAGGCTGTAGTAACGCATAATATATATAAGTCCAGGCTATGTCACAGCGAGGCAACAGCGACGGCGGTGTCAGGGCGAGTCGCGGGATGGAGGAAGACGACGACGAGGAGGAGGACTTCTTGCCCGCTATTCCTGAGGTGCTTCTGCATCAACAGCAGAATGGCCCGACTACAACGACAAGCGATCAGAGTTTGGGGGTAGGGCGGGGGAAGCGATCTCGTTCCTCAAGCATGGACAAAGTCGATGATGTCGACAACGGCGCGTCACGCGATGCTGGATGCAACGCAGGTGAGGACAAGCAGGGCGAAGAGTGTTTTGTAGAGTTGCTAAGCTCGGAGGGATTTCCAAGCAGTTCTCTCTACGAACGAAGCTACCAACACAGCCATTTTCTGCAAGATATTGGTGTTGTACAGGACGAGCTTGGCAGTCTCATTGCCACGGTGGACTCGACTGGGACGCTACGTGCATGGCGAAAGCTCCCGCGTGGTGTTTTTTTCATGGGGGATCGTCAGGGTCTTTTTCCACAGAAGGTGCGTGAGGGGGACCTCAATGACGTGGTGAAGCACTTTATCCTCACGGACCCACTCACGCCCAGTTTGCTCGTGGTGCGCATCATGCCATGCGTGGAGGCGACAGCTGGTGTCGTGACGGTTGCTGTTGAGGTTCGTGTGGTGAGCTCCACTCTCATGACCGTGGATGCACGTCTCTCCTGTGAGTTCAGCGTTACGCTAAACATGAAATCCAAATCACCGTGCTGGAAGGAGAGCGTTACGCAACGGCCTTTTCTATTACACCACGATCACCAACCGTTTATTGTTTTTTTTACCATGGAAAAGGATGGAACGAGTCACACCGTGTTTTTGCCGTGTGTCACAGAAAAGTCGCCGCGTTCTGGCGGCACAGCCACCATCGTGGCTTCCACTCCGCTAAGCACAGCCAATCTTGTGGTTTGTTGCCAGCAACACCGACCAAGCGGCTTGGTGGTATTGGTTGATGAAAAGGGCATTATCGACTACGCGCGCATCATGGTCTCGCCTGGCAATGAAGGTCAGTCTGTTGCTTACCTCCAAGTCGTCTCTGGTGTGCCATCGCGTGGCACATCTGACCCTATGATACTGCGGCGGTGGATTACTTTTGATCGGCGACAGAAGACCGGTTTTTTTACATTATTGCGAGATGCAATGGGTGCTGCCAAGACCGGCAGGGTGATGCTGCCGCTTCAAGTTGGGTTTTCTGCAACTGGGAAGTATTTTGTGGTTTCAAGTGGTGTTCTGCGTGAGGGCCATGTGTGCGTGTTTGCGCATGTTTTTGACTTTTCCAGCGGCCAGCTTCTCTGTCGTGGTGAAACCGATGAAACGGCAACCCCGTCACTTGTTGGGGAAAACGCTCTGAGGGAGGCACTTTGGCTACTGCGTGGGGCCGTGTTTGACGTCGTAGTGGAGGACGCCGTGCACAAATCCCCACAAGGTGGGGCAGGGGGTGTCTGGGTGTTCGTTCCAGAGATTATGTTGGAGACTCCGGTTGAGGGGCGCGTGTGTGGTCGCCGCGTCTTTGTCTTTTGTGCTGCGCCGTTACCTGCAAACCGAACAATGCTGTCAGGCGCAAGTGGAGCCTCCACCTGTGCCTTAGTGACACCGTTCCACATGGAGCAGCTGTGGCGCCCCATTGGAGATCTGGAGAAAACTCTTCGTGAGTTGCTCTCTCCCACCTCCTCGGTGTTAGCGTCAGGTGCGGCGCTTGATCGGCACTTTGCTGCCCCCTTGACACTGATACGACTCACGGTTCCCGCCAGCCAGGCTCTCAAGAATCTTGTGGGTCAGTCCCCTGTCGGCTCCACCCTTTTACAAGAGGACGTCAAACGGCTTTTTGTTGTTCCAAGCAATACGGCCTTGGCAGCTTCATCCAATGAGCGGCTTTTTAATGCTGCTGATCCCATGTTTTTCACAGCATCGCCGGGGGAATATGCCCTTTTATTGTACACAAAGTATGAGGTGCAGTTTGGGGTGAGTAATGCATTGCGAGCGGAGAACATTGCTCCCACCAATGCCACGGATGACGATGCTGGAAAGACGGAGCAGAAGTATCGTGAAAAGGCGCTGTGCGACTTGCATCAAAAGCGTGACTTTGACTGTGAAGATCTTCTTGTTTTGCGCTCTTCTCTACAGGGTGTGATGCCACGTGAGGTGGTGACGGACAACAACGACGAAAACCAGAAACCTGAGAGTATGACTCCGGAGAAAAGTGATGAACATGAGTTGGACGGTGATGTGGAGGAGCGACGTGTGCAGCATATTATTGCAACTGCGACAGGACATAGCATCGAATGGGGAACGTCTACTGTTCATGTCACTTTATTTATAGACCACTTTGGGACGGTGACCGTCCGTTTACTTCCCCAGTTTGCGCCAAAGGCCGTTAAAAATTTTGTTACTTTGGCACAAGAGGGCTTTTACAACGGACTGACGTTTCATCGCGTAGTGCCGGGATTTATGATTCAAGGCGGATGTCCTGCTGGGGATGGTAGTGGGGGAAAGAGTATTTTTGGCGGGAGGTTTGAGGATGAGGGAGTGCATGTTATGGATTTCTTCTCATATCCAACCGTATACTGGCTGTGCATGGCCAATTGTGGCCCCAACACGAACGAGTCGCAGTTCTTCATCACCGTAGGTGAGGCGGCGCCGTGGTTGAATGGAAAGCACACTGTTTTTGGTTTTGTAGCTACAGGAAAGCCTGTGGTGCGTGCAGTTGTACAGACGTCGAGAGGAGAGGATGACAAGCCAATCAGCCCCGTGGTGATTCGACATGCCATCGTCACGGAAAGAGCTACGAACGAGTAAAAAATACCTTCCAGGTACTGTTCTTTTTTTTTTTTTCATTTTAATGCGACGTACGAAGGCGTTTTTTTTTTTTTGTATGTTTAACCTTTACTTTTTTTGTGTGTGGTTTATTTTGTTAATTTTATTATATTTCCTCTGTGGGTGTGGTTGGAGTAAGGCCTTCAGTGCCACTGGGGACCTCTGCGTGTAATATATATATATATATATATATATTCCTCTTTCGGGCTTCCGTATATGAACCACGTGGAATGGGGCGTCAGGGAGCAGCAAGAGGTAAAAAAAAAAAACAAGGGGGACATAAAAACAAAATACAAATAGGAAAACTGTCAGGCACGAGTGGGGGTTGCGCGAGGAGATATGCTGAGCTACGATGAATTGATATGGACAATATCGTTTCCTGTCTTCTGCTCACTTGCCATGTGGTTTTCGATGGCCCTGGCACTTCTGGTGAGGTCGATGCGAGGTCGCGTCAGACGTGAAAAAATACGAGACTCCATCCTGCGAAAAGAGCGTTGGGGGGCAACGGTGTCTGGCTCCCTTCGCCGCGACAGCAAAGCCATATTGCGACGTGCAGTTGTGATGGTGGGTGGTGACTTTGCCCGCTCTCCTCGCATGCAGTATCATGCGGCGAGCCTGGTCAAGTGTGGTCTTTTTGACAGCGTGGCTTTGGTGGGATTTGACATGGGCAATGCCCTTATAGATGACCTACAATCAATCACGAGTGGTGGCACGAACGAAGGGGGTGAGTGCGTTGTAGACACCACCTATTTGATCCCGCCTGTGACGCCGCCTTCGTGGTTTTGTCGTGTATTTCCCCATCGTCGGATGTACTGGATAGTGTCTACCGCGTATCGTGCATGCGCCTGTTCTGTAGTCTTTGCTTGGGCACTTATAGGGGCATTAGTCATGGTAGTGAATGATCGTGGACAACTTCTGCTTGTGGACCTGGTTCTCGTTCAATCGCCTCCTGCAGTGCCTTTTGTGCCTGTTATCAAGTACATCGTCCGCCCATGTGTTTTTCTGATCAATGCGATATTGTACTACTGTTTCCTTGTTCCTGGTTCATGGATGATATGCGACGCTCTTAGCGAAATTCGTGGGGGCCTGAAGTTACAAAAAGAGCTGAAATTAGGAGATAAAAAAGTTACTGCCTCATCCAGGTTTGTGATTTGTCCTGCGCTTATTGTGGATTGGCATAACTTTGGTTACACGATTCTACAAAGCGATGACCGGCCCTCCCTGGCAGTCTGGATTTACTGGATGTTTGAGTGTCACTGCTGTTTTGGCGATCGCAACGTGACGGTTAGTAAGGCGATGCAAAAGGCCCTTTACGCTCTACAAGGCCGAACTACGAAGCGTCAAAGTGAGGCACATCCATTGATAGAAAACGAGGTGACAGTGCTATACGACACGGCTCCCGCTTTTTTTGGTCCTGCATCAAGAGCCCGTTTTGTGCAGGAAGTACTGCGTCCCATTTTAGGGGCAACTTGCGAAGATGCGAAGGAAGCCATGGGGCTCTCGCCGCCGCCGGCATGGGTGATGGAGACGGATATGCATGACGACAATGCCACAAACACCAGCTCCAAGGGGCTGTTCATAGTGGGTGCCACTAGCTGGACAGCAGACGATAACTACACCATGGTGGTAGAAGCACTGGCACGCGTTGATAAACGCTTACAGCAGCTTCAACAGCGAGAGGGTGGCACCAAGTCGCTTGTTGTGAAGCCCATCTGGTTGCTTGTTACAGGCAAGGGTGTGTCACGGGAGCGTTTTGAGCGTGCGGTTTTGGAAGCATCTCTCTCCCCACTCGTGACTGTGACAACTATGTATTTTCAGTCGTATTTGGACTACGCCACTGCCCTTGGTGCGGCGGATGTGGGTCTCTGCCTTCATCACTCCTCTAGTGGCTTAGACTTGCCGATGAAGGCCGTAGACATGTTGGGTTCGGGCCTACCTGTTATAGCCCTGCAGTATGAGGCCCTTCCAGAGTTGCTGGATGAGAAACATGGTTGGATGTTCACCAACGCGGAGGAACTGGAAACGATCCTGTGGCAGCTTACGAGTTGTGAGGATTCTGTCAGTATCGTGGAATCTGTGGAACAAAAGCGTCTCCACGTGATGCAGAGTCGGGAAAAAACGTGGGACGAACGGTGGCGCTTTGCAGTGGTGCCATTGCTGCGCGATCTGCTCTGATGGTGAAGGAGCAATGAGCGAATAAACGAGTGTGCGCGAGAGTGAAGGAAGTGAGGTGGAGGAGAAAAGAAGAAGAGGGAGAAGAAGGGAAAACGATGGGAGGGGGTGGCGCGTTGGCAAGAGCCAAAAGGAAATACCAAACCAACAACAAAAAATGGTAATAAAAGCAACAATGACTACGGGGCCATGACAGATGACACGCACACTCTTTATGTTGTTGTTGCTGCTATTCTCAGTATTGTTTTCTGATTTATGTGTCGGTGACTGTTTTTTTTTGTCTGTTTGTTTTGTCTCCATCAGCAAGAGATTTGTGCTGAGCTTATCGTGCTGTGTCTTTCCTTCCCTGCCCCTTTACTCCTTCGCCCGCATATACACGCACACACACACACACCGTCCTCTGGGGCAACCACAATGCCCCGCACTCCACACAGTGACCAACCACATCACGGGGGTGTATGTTGTCCGTTGTTTATCGTCTCAGAAGAGGCGCCATTGTTTGGGGAGTTTTGCAGAGTTGCCGCGCCTATCATGCGACCATTGGCTGCCGCCGGCGCCCATCTCAGTGGTCGGGTGGTCACGGCAAGTCACGGGTAGCGGGGAAACTGGCAGCGGCAGTAGCAACAGCAGCAGGAACGGCACGTACGCCACCAAACAGCACTAGCAAAGCAGGCAGGCAATTGGGTCACAACAACAGTGGCACAAGCGACAGTTGCGAAGAACACTCGTCTCTGGCGGGGCCGACGTCGCCACAGGCGTATATGTACCGCTTGCGGCATGGACGTTTTGACGATCTTACGATGCTTTTATCAACACCGTACGTGGCACCACCATTGCGAATCTTAACGGACGTGCTTTGTGAGGTGATGCAGTTGAAGCTACGCTTGGTGTCTGGAGAAGGTGGTGATGTTGATGGTATTGCGGGCAGGACTGACGCATGGGAGGCACTCCAACGCATGACGCATACGCTTTCTGACCCAATTTCAGTTCGGCAGGTGCTTTCAAAGGCGATTCACGCGGTAGCCGAGGTGACCGAAGCGGCGTCCGCGGTGGGGGACCTGATTAGCGAGCAGGAACTTCAACGAGCGTTGTACGAAATCGAATTTTTTGTTGCTCAACTGCGGCAGTGGAATGCCACAATGAAGACCGCCCTTTCCGTTGCTTCCCCGCGCGCGGAGGATGCCAAGTATTTGCATTTGTTGGGTTGGGACCTACCAAATGTTGTTATGGCGGAGATTTGGCATGCCCTGCTTGAGCTATGCAGCCTAACGGGAGCCTTTGACATTGCGGTGGAGTCTCTCAACCACCTCATTGAATTGAGCGAGCTCGTGGAGCGCGTAGATGCGAAGGGGAAAGGAAATGCAGTGCGGTGGCATGGGAACGATAATGGCAAGCATGGAAATAAGGAAACCGAAGAAGAGCACCAGCCTTACGGTTTTACGTTAGACAGTGTGGTGGAGGTGGTGGAGGATGAGGTGCGACACGCTTTTTTACCCGTGGTGGCGCTTGATCATATTCGAGCCATGCGAAGCTGCGAACTTACACGCGAATTTGATGTTGCTCACATGTTATTTTTACGGTACATGCAGCATGCCCGGGGTGGTGTGTTTCGTTTGACAGCCGGTGACATTACGACTGCGTTAATTTCTCTCGCACACAGCTGCAGTAACACGGCTCACTTTGCAATGTTACAGGAACTTTTTCTCGAGAGTGAAGCCGATCAGGTGGTAGGTGTCTCGGTAGAGTTGTATACCGCTATTATTGACGCTGTAAGCCGGGCGAACGAAAATCCACAGTGTATGGCAATAGCCCTTGCACTTTACCGTCGATTACGGGACGGGGGCCTTGCACCTACGGCTGACACTTACGCTGCTCTCATGGCCTGCTGTGCCGCCACAAAGGAGCCGACGCAGGCATTTGCTTTCTACCACGAGGCAAGGCACCGGTGCGGGGTTCAGAGTCTCTCCCCAATGGTGTACACCAATTTGCTGCTGGCCTACGTCAGAGCCGGCTACGCCGCGGATGCGCAGGCGACGCTGGACGTGCTTGTGGAGGCTGGTGCCCCGCTTTCTCGAGGTACATTTCACGCCGTGTTATCGGCTACATTGACGCTGCGGGAGGCGGAAAATGTACTCAGACTCATGGAGACACGATACAATATCGCACCAACGCCACAGACGTACGCGTACCTGCTTCAGGCAGCAAGCGCAAAACCTAACGGTGCTTCAACCGTCCTCCAGATGTTTGACTGGCATGAGTTAGCCTTGAAGTCTCTCGCGAAGGGCGACAATGTCGTTCTACACGGAATGTCAAAGACACTACTTGATGGGCATTCAAGTAAGACGGCGATAAGCACAAGTTCGTTGGCCATGTCGTTAGAAGGTGACCTTTTGGCACGCTACCCGGCCTATGCAGAGGCGGTTGAAAACGCGCTAGTGCGACTGCGAGTTGACCCTGCGGCGGATCCAAGTCTAGAACCCTATCTGCGTCCACTACTTCGTTTGGCTCAGCTGCGCATGAATGACTTCACTGGGATGACTCCACAAGTGCCTACACGAATTCCAAAAGGGATGGCAATCGCGGTCCTAGCAGCGGATGTCCTTGCAAATATTGAGGAGTGGTTTATGCCATTTGCCTCGTACTACTCTGCGGTGGTGATTCCGTACACTTCTCTTGTGGCGCTGCGAGGCGGGGGTGGGCGGCGATTGGATGGGACCTTTGAGAAGGGCACACAGCAGTTGTTAAACGACCCACTGTGGCGAGAGACGGGATCAGAGCAGCAAGCCATGCTGCAGAGTCGGCGGCGCGCCCTGCTAAAGTTTCTGGAAACGTATCATGACGTCATTCATTTGGTTTCTTTGGGGGAAGAGCTGGCGCTGAGCCGTGATTGCGAGCGGTATGGTATTGGTGTGCGAAAAACATTTTCCCGTTGTGCCGCCTTTGCGCTAAACTTGGCACGCCTCGACGTAGCACACGGAACAAAGGTGTACGCCGAGCAGGCGTGCAACGTTGTCTTGGTCTCGGCAAGCTTTGACGGGTGTGGAAAGTATGTGGTGGATCTGAAACAAGAGATTTTCCACGGCACAAAGGACGGCAACAAGCTCCGCGGTTTGGCAGATGGGCTGCAGCGGGTGTGGTACCATAATCCGCGCACAAGCCCGCAGTGGCGGCCACCTCAGGTGTCTGTCACATCGCTCATCCACCCCGCCGTGGATCGAGCCTCGTACGAGCAATGTCGTTGAGTGTCTTTTGCAACTAAAAAAAAAAATGGGACGCAAAGGTTTTTTCTTTTTTCCATTATGGATGTAGTGGTGACGCTCACGTATGAAGGTGGCTGTGTATTTAATCTTTTTTCTTCCCTAACGCACTTTGTTGTGGTTTTGCACTAATGTTACTGCAGCTGTTCTTGCTACTCTTCTGTGTGGTTTTAGCTGTTTTCCTGCTTGGAGGAGGTGCATCAAAAGCGGAACTGAGAGGAGGACGCCCAGTCCAGGGGAAAAGGCAAATACGGGTGTCTGTGGCTACTCAGAAGGTCAATAAGAAGAAAAGGGGTGTGGGAGAAAGCCGTAGTTGATAGAAGAAGGGAGTAAACGGACTTTTAGTGGCTTTAGAAATGGTTACCCCAAGGCGGAAGGATACCATCTGCGAGGCGGCCATTGTTGCTTTTTCCTTCAATAAGGACTGCTCGGAGGCCGTCTTTTCGCCGAACAATCACCTCCTGCATATTGTGTCCTGCAAAGATAAGACGGATTGCACCACGTGGGAAATTTATGCCACCTTGGAGCAACACGATCAATCTGTTTCCGCCACCGCCTGGCATGGCTTCACGGATCGTATTCTTTCGTGCTCGCAGGATCGTACCGCGTTTGTGTGGCAGCGTAGTGCCAAGGGAACGTGGAAGCCGCAAATGGTGATGCTGGATGCAGGTGTGAAGCGGGGTCTGACAAGCTGCGCATGGAATCATTCAGGTTCCAAGGTTTATGTGGGTTCTGCCGCGTCGAATATTGCTGTTGGGCGATTTGATGTGGAAAATGAATGGTGGGTATGTCGTTTGCTTGAGGGGCACACAAGTACAGTGACGGCACTTGCACCGCATCCGTCAGATGATGCGCTGTTAGCTTCTGGAGGCACTGACGGGAAGCTGAGACTTGTTTCCACGTTTATGAAGAAGGTTGATGGCAAGAAGACGGTTTCCTTTGGTCACGTCTACCTGGAGAAGGAATTTAGGGCATGGGTTCACGCTATTGCCTGGGCGCCATCAGGCCAACGCTTTGCAGTTGCAACCCATGATAGTCGGGTGCATGTCTTTGATGTGCCCTCCGTTGAGAGTCTTTGCGAGGGAACGGAAGAGGTCTTAGGGATGTATCGCATCAACTTGGCGATACTTCCTCTCAAATCGCTTGCATTCGTGTTGGAGGATCACCTTGTTGGAGGGGGTTTTGACTACTTCCCAGTACTCTTCAAACCGTCTGCCAATGGCGGTGGCTGGAGGTTGGCGGGCAAGTGGACCGCGGGCCAGACGAAAAGGTTGAAGACAGCGCAGCAGGTTGCTCGTGAAAAGTTTCAGAACGAGGCACGCATGGGTCAGGCAGAAGTTGTTGACGAGGAGCAGGTGCGCCACAAGAACAACATAGTTGGCGTCCTCCCTCTCCCAGGCGATGGTACTACTTTCGCCTCAGACATGAAGGGACTTGTTTTTGCCACGGCAAGTCTTGATGGGCGTGTTGAAGCATGGACTATGGGAGAAATGGTATCTATTACGTAATGGAGTGAAGCTGGGTGAGAAGCAAAAAAAAAAAACAACAACACACACACACACACACACATGCAGCACGTCTTTCACATGAACTTCCCTATTGACGCATTTTTTTTTTCGACTCGAAAGAAATAAGGAAAAAGAAGGCTCCTCTTTCTTGTGTGGTGCAGTATATTATCGTACACCTGCTGAAGTTTTCACATATGCACAATAACGCATACATTTGTCATTGTAGTTGCGTAGATACCCTTCTCTTTGTGTGTGTGTGAGTGTGAGTGTGGTCATGGGCACGGCACAGGTTGTAAATTGCTGTGGAGAACATCTTTTTTAAATATTGCTCTCCCCTCTTGTGTTTTTCGTCCCTCGCTGTGGTGACACCGCCTTCTTGACCCTTTCCCTGTTAAAGAGGAGGGTGAGAAGGACGCAAAGAGGCAGTCGGAGAGAGAGAGAGAAGCAACAAAAAGAAAAGAAAAACAAACAAAGCAAAGCAAAGCTGCACAGCATTTGGCTATGACAACAGCGGCGGACCCAGTTTTGTTTTACGCGAAGGTGGCAAAGATTGGGACGGATGGCTCAACTTTGGACCGCAACGTGTATGTCACATCATCAGCACTGCTTGTCTGTCTTCCCGCGGGCGGAATCACGCGGACTGTGTCGCTTGCCAGCGTTCTGGAGTTGGAAGTTGCAAAGGCGGACATGGCTGGCAAGCCGCGGTGCACGATACATGTGAGCGGTGAGTCACTTCTTGTCCTTAGCTTTGCTCATCAAAACGAGGCAGACGACTTTGCCGAAGCTGTCTCCACGGCGGCGAGTAACGTGAGGGTGGTGCACGTTGCTGGCACACCGGTGCGTGCGAAACACGTCAAGTTAGACGTACAGCAAGCTGTTCCGAGAGGAGTGCGCTTCGTTGATCCACCAGCATTACCCGAGCCGTCCTCGTCGTTTGCATCATCGTTAGCCGCTGTGAACAACAAGCGCCACCAATTATCGTCGTCAACGTCTTCCGTGGGTCCGGGAAGTTCTGCTAGTGCCCAGACCTTCGCGAAGCCCAGTGAAGCATTAGATATGGTCGGAAGGAGGCCAGCGGTAGGCCTGACGGCCAACAGTACATTTGGTAACATTGAAAATTCCAAGGCGCCCCCCGAGGGGCACGTCTCTTCCTTTTGCCGTGAAAAATTCTACGATCCGCAACAGGGGGGGAGCCAGGATGGGAGTGGTACCTCGACCGGCGCGGATGACCTCAAGCACCCAACGGGGAGCTCCCTGTACACCAGCAATATAACACGACTAATGACAACGCCGCACGGCAAAACAAGTGGGCATAACATTTCTTTGTCGCAGGAGGATGAGGATCATGAAGCGACTCAAAATGTTGCTGCAGCCCTCCATGCTCAACGAGACTCACCTGCAAATCTGAAGTTGCGTCTCTCAACAGATTTGGAGTTGCAAAAACAGACTGTGAGTCGTCTCAACAGCGAACTACAAGAAAAGAACGCGTTTATTGATGACCTAAAGACGGCATTGCGCTCACAAGAAGCCGTGTTTCAGGAGATGATACGGTCCACCGAGCAGCAACGTTTGATGGAAAGGGCTAAAAACGAGTTGGAGAAACAAGTGCTGGTGCTGCAGGCGGAGGTGAAACACTGGGAGAATCTCAGCAAACATAGAGAATCTGAGTATAGAAAGGAGCTAGCAACGAAGCTTGCGGAGTTGCATGAGTCGCATACGAAGGAAGTAGAAGCGGTGCAGGAGGCCTTTGCGCACTACGATGCTGAGATGACAGAGTACGTTTCGAGTCTCTTAAAGGACATTGAACGTGAGGCATGCAGCTGGGGGAAACAGGAACGAGTGCTTCAGCGACAAATAGAAATTCAACAGCAAGAAATTTCGGAACTGACGGGTGCCCTTGCGTCGCGTCGGGTTGTCGTGCCTGATCCCATTACTTCGACTTCTGCTGTCGCCGCTGATGAGGCAAAAAAGGACACCGGAGGGGCTGCTGATGGTTTGGATGGAGATGGCAAGGTGTCGCCATTGCCGCGTGGGCATGAGACAGTGCGAATATCTCAGCGTCCTATCCCGTCTGCGCTCACAATGCCAGCATTGGAGCAACGGTTGGCGTCACTAGAGGAGGGGCGGGCACGGCTGCGGTTGGGTGAAAAGCTGCGCCGTTACGCCCACAGGCGCAGTTATGAAACCGCAGGAGTGTGCTTTGGTGGTGGTGAGACCCGAGAAGGGCAACATGAACGTGACCGATTGAAAGCTGAAGTGGGGGTCGGGGTGTCGTCGCTGTTGGTGTCAGCTGGCGAGTCTCGCACTGTCCGTAGTCGCGCCATTCTCTGATGTGTAAGAAGAGCATACTACACATTTTTGTGTTGTTTTTTTATTGTTAACCTACCCACTTGCCCCTCACCTTTTTTTTTTTCTGAAATGAGTGGTTTTTGTGTTTGTTTGTTTCTTCTCCGCCTCCTCTGCTGCCGCTGCGTCCACCACGAGTGAGGCGTGTCGCTGTTGTGCTCTTCGTGCATTCACACTTTTTTCCTCCCCTTCGCTTTGTGTGTTACGGTCCATGGGGTGCAGTTGAGGAGGCCATTATGTCTCTCTCTTCGTATCACTTGCACTGGTCAGACGCGCTCATCAAACGTGTGGAGGTGCGGCTGCGGCAGGTGCATGCCTCGCTAGAAGAGTTTTACAAGCGTAAGAACTATTTTATTGGTTCCCATTCAACCAGAACTGCCGAGAACGACGAGACGCAGCATCAACAGGAGGACGGTCCCATCAACTCGGTTGGCAGTTTCCTTCTGCGCACGTGTGTGCACTCCTCGCCGTTCTACGAAACTCAGGTGGAACACGGCGTGGGGGCGGATATTGCCCTTAAGATACCGGAGGAGGTGTGCTCGCAGAAGGATATTCATGATGGCCACTACTTGGAGCGACGGCAGGCATTTTTGCTCAAGTTGGAAAAGTTCCTGAAGAAGTACAATGAACAAATGATGAGGGAAACAGCACAAGCGTTCGCAGCAAGGGGAGACGACGATGACGGAGATGAAACGGATAGACCCGAACTGCGGTCGACTGTTCAATGGGACGTTCGACGCGTTCCTGTTGGCGGCGGTTTTGTGAACACAGGTAAGGAGATTCTGCGCATATGTTTTATGAAGTCCAGGCACGGTGCGACCCGGCGGGAGGTGTTTCATGTAGATGTTCACTTACAACCCATTTCCCTCACAGGCCGTATTGCAAGTGCGGCGGCTATTCGCAAGCACCCTTTCTACAGCTACCTTGTGCAGGAAGACGCCCTCATGACGGTGCACCTTCGCAAACTACACGAGCTCTACTCGAAAAATCAAGTGTTGCTACGTGCCACTGTGTTTCTAAAGTGTTGGGCATACCACGTTGGACTCATGTCACGCACCTCGGGACACCCAGAGGGTTTGAGTGGATTTCACATTTCTGCGCTGTTGCTGCGCCTCCTCGAAGAGGGTCTCATATCGCCCAATATGTCGGAAGAGAATGTTGTACGCGCGGTGTGGGTGCAGCTTTCACGTGGGTTCACGCAAAAAGAAAGTTACAGCAACGGCCAAAAGATGCCCATTCCAGCGGCAGAGGAACGTGGTGAAGTGGCGGTGCTCCGCTTAGCAGGGGAAACTATGAATTTGTTTTTCCGTTCATCCGCGGCCTTTTTCCAAAACATTGTTAAAAAGGCCGCCGATGAGGCGCTTCAACTACCACACTTCTCTGAGGTGTTTGTGACAGTTCCCTTTCAACCACTGCAACTTCGGCTGGATATCTGCTTCACTGTAGAGGGCCTCCGAGCGCACTTTGCGGAGGTGGATAGTGCGCCTATTGCAAAGATAACCAGTGCCGCGTGGTCTGCATCAGCGCAGCAGGTACAGGCGATAAAAGAACTTGCTGAGGAGGCACTTGGCACACGCTCCAGTTACGCAACTGTGTGGCGGCGAAGCCATGACTCTGTGTACATTGCAGTGCAGCTGACAACAGAGGTAGAGGGACGAAACCGCCTCACGCGTGGCCCCGTTGTGGAGGATACCGAGGCTGTTGAACGCTTTAACGCCTTCTGGGGGAAAGATGTCACGTCAACGCGGCAGTTCCCAGATGGTGGTATTTACCGCTGTGTGCTGTGGACCTTTGATGAGGACGTTGGTGCCCATACGACCATCGCTCTTTCTGCGGCAACTGTCATGCGCCGGGTGTTGGCGTTTGCCCTGAAAAAGCACCTTTCCCCCACCGCAAAGGTCTCACTGCTTCTTGGCGGTCTGGAAGGGGCAGTGGCGGAACGCGTTGGTGCGGAATGGCGCGATGCCGCCCCAATAATGCAAAAATCATTAATGGAGGCGTGCAGGAAGATTGAAACGATGATAGTAGAGGTTCCACGTGCTGCGCTGCCGTGCAAGATCATATCCTTGGACATCATCGCACCCAGCGAACGTCACACAGCCACATTTCCTATACGGCCGCATCTTGCCCTCACGTACACCACCGATGACCTCACACAGCCAACTTTTGCGGGGCTCACCACAGAACTGGTCATTGAACCGGTTCACGGCGTTCTGACAATTGACGATAAGAATAAGATTCCCGATACACCCGAAGCTATTACCGCAATTAAAGGAGCCATTTGTGCTCAGCTGTCCAAGGTGTTGCAGGAGTACTACGGCGATAACAGGAAACAGTGTAAGACACGCTCAAAGAAGTCTGTGAAAAAGGAGAAAGACACTCCGCACCAACAAACCCAATGTGAAGCTCAAACATTTTGTATACGTACATCCTGTACAAGTCATTCGGTGGATATCATTTACAAGGGATATCTATTTCGTCTTTATATTGCGCACTATCGTGAGGTATCCCTGCTGAGGGCGCTGCAACGCGAATCTGAGGCTGCTATGATTGAACGTAAACTGTTTTGGAGTGTACAACATGCCAAATTTTTGCGTACCGTGGCATTTGGTCACCACACCTATGCCATGGCCGCTCGGTTATCTCAACGGTGGTTGAGTGCAATGCTTCTACTTGAATTTATTCTACCAGAGGCAGTGGAGCTGCTCGTTGCCAACGCATACCTGGGTTCAAGCCCACCAAAGACATCGGTGAGTGGGTTTGTGCGCTTTCTTCAGCTACTTGCCACTCATGATTGGTCAAGTCCGCTAGTGCTACCGTATTCTGTAGATAGTAAGCTGCAAGCAGACACTGCGGAGCTTGTGCGGACAATGGGCGAGCAACAGGGCATGTTTATTGCCTCCCCGTATGCTCCAATGGAAAGTCCATTCACAGCCCATACTCCAAGACCAATGATTATGCACCGTGTGGTGCAGCTGGCGAAAAGCGCCTTGGCGGTGTTGCTGGCCCAGCTTGATGGAAGGGAGATGCTGCGGTCCTTGGAAGGTTCGATCTTCACAACCGACCCAACCGCCTTTGATTTTCACATGGCATTTCATCCGCATCTTTTGCTTCAGCCGGACCGTCTTCTTGTACCTCCCTCTGCCGTTACGCATATCCCTTTGGCAGCGGGAACGAGTGCTGCTAACGGTGCTGCTCTATCGCCTATCCTTGGACCTGTGTCGGTGGGAGAAGCTACGGCATCAGCTTCAGTGGTCCCACTACCTCCACGTATTTGGCAACTGGATGAGCTGGAGGAGGACCGGAGTCGCGTGTATTTGACGGAGCTTGTCGAACGGGAACCCACCGCCCACGTTGTACGAAATTTGCGTATGGTTACGAGGGACCGTTGCATGATATTCTACGATTGCCTTGCACCGCACGGTATTTACATAATCACCATCACACCTTCTCCTATGCGAGAGGTCTGCATGCAACTCCACAACGACATTATTCGCGTCAGTCACGGGGCGCTTCTTCCCTCTTCCTGCTTGTCAGCTGTTGGAGCTGCAGAGAGGCGGAAGGCAAAAGTAGAAAGAAAACCGTCCCCCACGGTTGCCGTGAAATCCACGAGAAGGAAGGCTGCAGCTGAGGTGATCTCACGAAAGAGTTCCGGGAACGAGGTCGAAGAAGCAAGGTCACAGAAGCGACGCCGGACGGATGTTGAAGAGGAAACCGTGGGAATGACGCGGTGCCCCGAACGTCTCCAGGAGCGAAGCCGTCAAGAAACAACGGCACATGCCACGAAGGCAAGGAAGAGTGACCGGACGGCAGGAACCGTAAGCCGGAAAAAGAAGGTAAAATGAACATAATGGAGTCAAGACGACCCCCACTCTGCATACGATTAAACGCATTCGTCGCAGTTGTCGCCATAAATAAATAAAAAAGAAGCTACGATACATCCAAAGACAATAAAACGAAGAGAAGAAGACATGTGCAATGGACTGATGAGTGGGGCAAATAAAAAAGAAAATTTAGAGTGAGCGTAAAAGCGCCACTGTTGGGCAAAAATGAGTAGCTGGTGGTGAGACATTAATATCTGAAAGGGTGTACTAGGCGTGTGTCTCTGTTCTTTTTTATTTTTATTTTATTTTGTTTTTGGTATGCTTGTGTGTTTGGTGTTTTCCTTTTTTTCCCCCCGTTTTTTTTTTGTTTTGCTGTTAGGCGCTCGATGCTGCGGTGGTTTACTCTGCGGCTTCTGCCACAAAAGGGCTTCAACCTGGATCCACGTCGTCTGCCTTGCCGGCCGGAAGGCTTGTCTCGCCACGTGCTTCGCCGCGGGATGCTTCTTGCGGAGTTGGACCGAATCCCTGACGATGCCGGCAGCGTGGCGAAAACGAAGGCAAATGACGTTGTAAACGTGGCGCCATTAACACCATCGTTTGCGTCGGCGTCAGCATCATCATCGGCTCCTCACAGTGACGATTACCTTGTTCCGTCACCGTGTGCTAAAAAACTTGAGGAGGCTTCCATGGCTCTGGACGCATCGTTAAAGCGCACCTTTTCCGTTTCAGGTCATTCATGTGAGGTTAACGCGGGAGCACCATTTGCCTCTTTGGACACACTAAGAGCACAGCAAACGGCACTTCGGGCCTTGTTTGCCGACGCAAAACGCCGCAGTATCCGTATGCGGAAAGACCGGCGTTGGTTACGAGAGGAGCGGCGTGCTTTTCAGCAGTCACATGGACATGCTCCATCAAATAAGGAGGTGAGTCCATTTGTCGATGTCGAGCTTTCTCCTGTGGCGGCGCTGAAACTAGCAAAACACTTGTCGCAGCATTCAAGCGCCCGTGAGACGGTGATTCAGAATATTCTTCTCCAGCAAAGTGTTACAAGGAGCCGACTCGTGCAGAGTGGGGAAAAAACCCTGTTTCGATGCCTTCGCTGCTTTCGTGTGTATGCTGCGCATCCTCGAACACTTCTTCGTGACGAGGTGGGACACAGTTGGATGCAGTATGAGGCTGAGCGAAATAAAGTTGGCATGTCACGGGAGTTGGCACGATGCCCTCGACTCCGTAAGCGGAAATACAGCGTTGGACAACAGCGCAAAGCTCTCGCGGAGGACCCACGCTGTTGCCCGTCCTGTGGCAGCCCAAAGGCGCAGTGGTTTATGGAATATGTGCATCACAGCACCCATGCATGAGACATATTTTTTTTTTTCTACAGTGGTTGGTGTATCTTATTTAGAAAAAAAAAATCCTATTTTTTTTTTTTTGTTACCTTATTTTTTTATGTTAAATATTATTATTTTTGTACATGGCGTATTGTTGTATTATTTTCCGCGTTGTTATTATGGGGCGTCTTTTTTTTTGTTTGTTTGTTTCTCTACCTCTCTTCAATTCATTTGGGAGGGTAATGGCGCGGTCGTGGCGTACGCGTGCACACGGATGGGGTGTGGCTTCCCCAAAGAAGTTGCTGCGCGGTGCTTTCCTGTTCTTGCTTTCTGCAGCCGTTGCGTCTTGGCTGCTTCTAGGGGGTGGCGTTCAGAGCGAAGGGAACAATGAGAGGGGTAACTTACTGGGGAAGGTACTTCACAGGCCTTCTGCACATCATTTTGTCCCCTTGTCCACGAAGCACACGCCTCCACAGGGCTTTTTGCTGGCACACACCAACAAAGTTGCTCCGTCCGTCGTCTCATTGAAAACGTCGTTCGCGGGAAATACAGCTAACGAGATTGTGGTGCAAAACAACCCTGGCACCATCAAGCACGCCATATTCGCGAACAGCAGCGCCGACGGGGGAGCTTTTATCACAAAGATCAAAAGACTTAGCTACTGCCACTACGAGGTTCACAATTTTTGTGTGGATCGGGGGACGTTGTTGTTTTTCCATCACCCGATGCAGGGAACACGCAAGGCTAAGCAGGGCCTGCGCGCATGTAATGAGTTTTCCCGCCATAGCCCATCCATATACATTAAGTATTGGTCCATTGCGCTTTCGAATTCTACGCTTGAACCTCTTCCTGCGCCGCTTAACACCGTCACCAAAGGATGGATTTTGCAGTTTTGGTGTCAAGATCTTTTCCACATGACCCTTTCGCTTCTTCCAGCGTTTCATACCAAACGGGACGTTGGGCAACAAGATGCTGATGTGTACATTCGAATAGCGAGGGGTATACGAAGGAAAGGTGGTTATTGTAACGTTAAACTTGGCGACCCACAGAACTTTGAGAACCCGAGAAACATAAAATACAATCAAGATCATCAATTTCCGTTTGCAGGAAATCCATATTGGCCATTCTACCGGATCTTGACCAGTCGCTCAGAGAAGATTCATCCGCTAAAATCGGGTACAAGTCTGCAAGCCGCGTGTTACCAGCACGGGGTTATTGACAAACGTTACATCAAGAGCATGATGGGTTCGGAGGCACGGAACTATAGTGTCAGTGTTTTGGAAATGATGGGGGTACCGCCTGGTCAACCACGACCTTGCGGGAGCAAATATCGTGCTACAATGATTGACCGACGAGGACGTACACGCCGGCTAACTAACATACCAGATATTGTTCAAATTATGCAAAGTATGGGATTTGATTCCCAGGTCGTGGCCTTTGAGACGCTACCCATTCGCGAACAACTTCGCATTGTCACAATGACCGACCTTTTGATTGGAGTTCATGGAAATGGACTCATGTGGCTACAATTCTTGCCCCCAGGATCCGCGGTGATTGAGCTGGTAGGGGTGTGGTATACACCATACACACTGCTGTGGGGGCACAGCTATTTTCATTCCAAAGATGGGAATAACCCAGAATACAAGCAGCGAGGCGAGTACCACCCATTTGCGCACAACATCACTGAGGTGCGCGAACTTCTGGCGAAAGCCAAAGGGGCTCTTGACCGTACTAGATGTGGCAAAACACCTTTTAATCCGCCAAATGAACAACTTTCCAACTTATACTCTAGTTGTGCACCACACTGTTGACACTGCGCACATGAGAGGCGGAAATAGGGGGTGAGGCGCTCGCGTAGTTGAGGATGTGTTTTTGTCGGTGTTATTTATTATATTTTTTTTCGTGGTATGTATGCAGTGCCCTTCTTTAAAAGCGAAACAAAAACACGTATTATTGTTGTTTTGCGCTTTTATTGGTTTGGTTTGTTTTTCTCAATATGACTTCCTGTTGTTGTTTGTTATTTGGGCAGGCAGCGGCATTCATTCTGGGTTATTAGGTTGCTCCTAATTAAAATTAAAATTAAAATTAAATAGATCCAAACACATAGCGCATTAATATATAAAAAATAAAAATAAATGAGTTCTGCAGATACGTTAGTGAAAGAGAGGTCGGTGCTACCCCAACAGAAGGATATGCTTCTTCGACTCGCCTCGTGTTCGGGAACCACGCTGTTTCTTCTTGTTTGTGGGTCCCGCATCCTTGTGCTACTTGCAATGCTCGTATCATACGCAGTGTTACCGAGGCTACTGAACACGGAGCTCCTTTTAGACACTTCTGGACTGCTGCACAATGATACGGTGGGTCAATGGGCGTTTCTTGACTTTCCTCGTAATTGGGACGGTGTTCACTTCTCTCACATAGCGAACTACGGTTATTCGCATGAGAACAATTGTGCGTTTTTCCCTCTAGTTCCCTGTATCTTTCAAATCTTGTCATGGCTCAATAAACTATTTTTCCTAGCCCCCTTCGCCGTTGTTCCTGTTTCCTTTCAGGTTGCTCTGCTGAACGCAGTGTTAAATGGTGTCTCCGCCATTTTTTTGCGACGCATTACGGGCTTGACTCTCCGACGTCCCGAAACAACTGGGAAGGAGAAGTTTGGTGGAACCTGGCTGGATGAGCTGCCACCGCCACCGCCTCCGCGGCATGGGAGCCGAAAGGAAAAGGACCGAGATGGGGACATCAAGCTGAGGCTGAAACGGGAATTGGGTGCGGTAGTTCTGATGTGGATTATGAGCCCGACGCTTGTGTTTAGTGTGGTCACCTACACGGAGAGTATCTTTTGTTGTTTGACGTTTGCGGGATTGCATTTGCTTTTGGTTTCCTCTGAAGAATGTAGAAAATTTGTTGCCGCAACTGCCGAAGCTGGCGCCGTGTTTTGTTTTTTTTTGGCAGGATGGGCTCGCTCAAATGCTTTTTTGTACGTGGGATTTATGTTGTATCCCACGTTGTTGCAAATATTTTTCTTTGACACGTACCGGGTACGTTACATTCAATATCACGGAAGCTACAAGTTGTGCCGTCGGTGGCCAAGCGCTGGACGCTGTCTGGTGCTATTTATAGAATTTTTAATTATTTGTACACCCTTTCTATGCATGAACTACTTTTGTTTTAGTCGGTTTGCGCCGCTCTGGGATTCCACGACAAGGGTGGCCATTGGTAACCGATTTTGGTCCTTCTACGGATTGGTTCAAAAGCGTTACTGGAATGTGGGGTTTCTCGGGTCTTACACTATGAAAAATTTGCCAAATGTCTTCATTGCTGCCCCTGTTGTATTTTTCACACTTCGAGGACTTGTGCTGTTTTATGTGCTTCCGGCATTTGCCAAGGCATCCACCTCATTATCCAATGAGGGTGCTCGACGCAGCAGTGAAGGCAGGCACAATAAGAAAGGTGGGAGTAAAATATTATCTTCTTACTTCTCCTTGTTAGGGTGTCTTGTGAAGGTCTCGGTTCAATCGGCGAACATGGCGTATCTTGTGATCTTGATTTTGTTTGGGGTTTCTATGATGCATGTAAATGTAGTGAATCGTTTCATTATGTCCTCCCCCGCACTGTATTGGATTTGGGCTCGACAGCTTGTGTGGGATCCGTGGGGAGGTTGCACAATCGTGATGCTCCGCTTTTTTGCAGTGTGGACTTGTATTGGTATTCTATTTTTCCCTAATAGCATGCCATGGACATAATTGACTAGGGACCTCATTCTTTTCTGCATGCTCTCTCTCCATTTATTGATGTTTTCATGTGTGAGTGTGCTTGTCATCACAGTGACGAAGGACGACTAGATGTGCGTGTTATTATTAGTATATGTTTTTTGTTCCAAATAACCTTCATCTATTTTGATTTTGTATTTATTTGTTTTTGCTGTTATATATGTGAGTGTTTTTTGCTTCTATTTTAATGTATCTTATGTTTTTGTATTGCATCGCTTGTGAATATTTGTTTGCTTATTTGATTGGTTTGCCTTTCTAGTAGTAGTAGTTGTTTTTTTTTTTACGTGGCGTGAGCAGGTGCAGGCTCTGCCCGTAGGGTTGTGTTTTTTGAGGAAGGATGAAGCAGGCTCTTGGCGGTCGGAAAGTAAAAGGAACAGCTAAGAAGCGTGTGACTCTAAACTTGCCTGGAACCCGTTCCGAAGCACTGGCGCCCGTGCCTCCCTCGGAGATCCGGGATGGCGGCAGTCGAGCCAAGGGCTTCCCTGCAAGAAGAGCGCAAACGAACAGTAGAAGACGTGTGCCGTCGCGGCTTGGGCCGGCGGATTCAACTGTTTCCGTGGCGCACGGGAAGTGTCGTGGGACACCACCGATGGAGGGCTCCGTGTATGGAACGCCACCAAGGGATGGTATTTCTATGTTAGGCGTGTCCTTTTTTTGTAGCTTATTTGCTGCTAGCATGCGACGCACAATTGTCCGATACCGCCAGCGGGTGGTGTGGGAAATGGTGAAGAAACCACAAGCGGCTTTTTTGATACAAACCGCATGGCGCAAACACCAGCAACATCGTCGGATGCAGCTTGAGGTTTTATCAAGAGTGCTTGTCCCCTTTCTGTATCGGAAACTGAGACGTATTCGCGCGGCGAAGGAAAGATCCGCTTTTTTGCTTCAACGCGTTTTTAGATCACAAAAAGAGCGACATTTTATGCATTGGTTGTACCAACAAATGAAGCGTGGTCGAGCTCTTGCTTTGGTGCGTCGGTGCTTAAAGCGGTACGTGGCAAGACGGTATGTGGCTTTTCTGGCACTGCAGCGCGATGAGCGGGTGGTGTGTGAGGAGCGCTGTGTCATTGCTTCAATCCGCATCATCCGTGAAGAACGCGAGGAACTACTTTGGATTTTTCAGTTTATGAAAACAACTTCAACGATTTTTACACCATTGGCGGTAACGGACGTATGCGGACGGGAAGAGGGCCACAATACTGCATTCTGTACCCTTCCCCCGCTTTTGAGGAAAGCGCCTGAGGCCCATTCAGCTCGCTCCTCACCTTTCCCGGAGTCGTCATTTGGGCAAGGGGCCCTGCTGGAAGCAAAGCCGTTAGGTACAACTCGTGTAGGTGCCGAAGGTGAGTTCTGCAGCCCTAAACGACAAAACAGCAGTAGCGAAATACCCTCGGTGGGTAAAGGTGATACACTTTCATGGACCTCCTTGTTGCACAATGAAGAGGGCGCGCGTCAGCTGGTGCGGGAACTCTTTGCCCTCAAGGCGCCGCAGTACCCTCTTTCGCGAACGGGGCTGCGGCGGGGGCTCTCCAGTGGGCGTCGTGAGAAGGTGGTTGCGGATTCCGTCACTTCTCAGGATAGTCACACCTCGAGGAACGAAGTACATTGCTCGTGGTGGTTGAGTGGGTTGGCCCGAGGAAGAGGGACCTCTGCAGAAGGAACAAGGCATGTGGGTCTCGACCAGGAGTCTTCCCAAGCAAAACTGCCGATAGATGACTCAGCGACCTCGGTAAATCAACTGATGAACGCTTTTATTGAGCTTCTCGTATGCACAGAGTCCACAGAGCGCAAGGCACTGGAGATGGATCTTCAGAGCCGCCACACGGATATTATGAAAAAGATGGGTCATTTTGTCACTACCATGCAAGCCTCCATTGTCGCCCCGCCGCTCTACCATTCGCTCCTTTCCACGCTGGGGGAGCCGTGGGTGGTGCGTCGGGCAGAGCTGCTTTTTCGTGAAGAATATGAGGCACGATTGAAAATTGTGGAAGAGTACAACGTGACACCGCTCCGATTTTTAAACCGTCCGCTTCTTAACCCGGCGGCAGAGGAGAGGCGGCAGCGGTTGCAGGAGCGTCTGCGGACAATAAAAAGGAGAGAAAGAGGAAGGAGAGAAAACGTTGCTGCGGCATCTCCATTGCCACTTGCTACCATCGTTGCGAGCACGTCGGGGATGGATGAGAAACAGACCACCACGCGTTGTTTTACGGATATTTCCGTCCCTGCCACGTGCGTGAGCCGAGATGTCACTGCCGAAGCATCGACGTTGAAACTTGTATTTCCGACTACGCAATTTGGGCTTCCACAACCACCACCGCCGTCGTCCCCGCCTCAGAAGGCGTACGACAACGCCAGAGTGTCCAGCACTCCCTTGCCAACTGTTGACGCAAGTTCTGGGCGACGAATACACAGACACGGCAGCTTACTCCTCACCGTGGGAAGCCCTGCGTTTTTACATGCCGCGCCGACAGAGTCGGTGCCAATCACTAGCCGCGCCAATATTGGGACGGCGCAACATGATGCTTTTGCGATTGGCAGAGGTGGTGCGCTTCAAGAAACTTCATTAGTGCGTGCATCACCCACTCCTCTCGACACTCTCACGTGCCCTACGCTTCTGCTTCCTCCCATAGTTGGTTGCCAACACAAGAATAATACAGTCACTGAAATTGAAAACGGTATTAGTATGACAGAACTTCAGTCGTGCCATCCAAGTCAATGCCTGCATTTGGCCATCCCCCCATTAGACACCGAAAGCCTGGGGAGTGCGTTGCTAAAGAAGGCCGCGCCTACTGCTCCAGATATCTCCAGTGGTGGCGTAGATACCACAACAATGCAAAAGAGCTGGGAACTTGGGATGCACGCCAGCGGCTGTGGGACACCACGCAGGGCACCCATTCCACTCCTACTCTCTTCCACAAGGTCACAGCGCGACTACATGTTTGAACTCCCACGCCACTCCTTTCTTCTTGAGAAGGATTTCGTTACGGGCAAGGAAGGTGGCGCTGATTACGTGCGAAGAAGCCGTTTGTGCTCGTCTCCAGCTCATCCCACCACAGGGCTTGCGGGCGTTAACGGGTCTCCAAGGCCCGTGCAGTTAAGCTCGTGGATGGGACACTTTTTTGATTTTAAGTTGCAGACCGGTCATAGCCCAAACGCAAGGAGGCTGCGAAAGCAGTTGTCTGAAACATCCAACCTGAGTGTTGCCAGTTAGTTACTTGGGAAACTGGGTTTTCAGAGAGAGAGAGAGAGGAGGAGGAGGAGGAAGAAAAAAAAACTGGAAGGGGGAGGGGAGGGGGTGCTACATAGACACACCTCCCTCCCCCCATATGTAATATCAATGTACAGTACGCATTCCAATCTATCTTCTTATTCAACATCTTTTTTTTTTTTTTTGTTCACTCTGTACATGTGTTTCACCGTTACATTTGAAGAGTTGTTGATTTTCCGTTGGGTGAAGTGGTGAAGCAAAGAAAATGCAATGTATCCTTCTCCTCTCCATCTACGTGGGCGTGAACGAGGCCCCCGTCTGTCTGTATATTTATTTATTTTATTTATATATATATATCCTTCTCATTAACTTTTATTTTGTTTTTACTTGTTGGAAATAGAGAAGGGAAGAGGGACGTGTTTTTAGGCTGCACGGGAAAGAGATGGTGCGGCGTCGCGTTGGTGGGAACTCGCGTGTGCTTCGCAAAAAGAAACTTAAACTATCCAAGAGGGCCTCCACTTCAGGTGATATTTCCGCGGTGGTCGCTGCAGCTGTCGGTGTGAAGAAGATCACGCAGCTGCGACTTAAAAAGTCGGGTGGTCGGGCGGCGTCAGGAAAGCAACGGGTTGCCGCACTCGAGGCGTTGAGAAAACAGCGCAGTCAGCTGCTGAAACAACAGGCCGCTGAGCGCATGGTGCTAAAAGAGCACACAAGAGGGTTGGAGACGCGTCGTCAGCGGATACGCAAAGGGGAGAACGCGAAGATGGAGCGGCGGGAGCTGGGGAAGTACATCCGTCAGCTAAAGGAGGAGCAGAAGAAGAAGCATCAGTCGGAACTCGCCGTCATTGAGGAGGCGGTGAAGAAAAACGGCGGGAGGAAGGGATACGACATGAAACGTGACGCCGACGAATGGGAAGACGTCGAGGATGATGCGGAGGATTTTGATGAGGATGAACTGCAGAACATGTTTGCCCACTTGACCACCTAGCGATGATGCTTGTGTGAGGCCCCGCGTCTTTTTTGTTCCCCCCTTTTTCGTTTCTTCTGTTTTTTTTTGTTTTTGTTTTTTTTCCGAGGAGGTGTGGAGATGACCCATTCATTCTCGCATGCTGAGTGACGCTGCAGCGCTAATGAACTGCCAAAGAAGGACGCCGTGTGACGCCGATGTGACGAGGTAAGTGCCGATTAAACGCTATAGAAGTATCCCAAACAGAAAGCAGCATCAATGCCAACAGCAGCAAACCCAACGCTTAAAAGGGGACCATTCCTATTGGTTGAGAAACAACTTGCCACATTCATGCGCCCTGTCTTTTCTTCCCCGGCCTCTTGCCACAGTGCATTGTAGGGAGTAACCATAAATTGTAGCATTAATTGAGTTATTTTGTGAACGATTCTTGTAGCATTTATTTGAGGTGATGTCGTCCGTGGTTGCTTCAGCCTCGGAGGCTGCTTCTGCCTGCAAAGCAAAGATGCAGGCGGCGGGTGTGAGTGAGGCGTGCATCCGTACATTTTTGGCCCAACACGCCGTTATTAGCAAAGGAGAAACAGGCGACATCCCTGAGAGCAGTATATGTCCTGTAGAGTCTCTTGACGCACTTGAGCACCTCACCGCGCCTGTGGACCGCTCTCTTCTTAAGCACGTGGTGTTACTGAAGCTCAACGGTGGCCTTGGAACGGGCATGGGGTTGCATACAGCTAAAAGTCTTCTTCCCGTCAAGGACGGCAAAAACTTCCTTGACTTTACTGTACTGCAGGTGGAACATCTTCGTAAGGCGTACAGTGACCACCTACACTTCATGCTGATGGACTCGTTTTCCACCTCCTCTGACACGAAGGCGTACCTACAAAAATACCCATGGCTGTCCAACACCTTTGATGCAGAGGTGGAACTGATGCAGAACCAGGTACCAAAAATTTGTCAGGGCAATTTTTTCCCTGCTACATATGAAGCGGACCCCTCGTGCGAGTGGGCCCCACCGGGCCATGGAGACCTTTACACAGCACTCTATGGCAGCGGTAAGCTGGATGATTTGCTTTGCAGTGGATATAAATATATGTTTGTTTCCAACGGTGACAACCTGGGGGCAACGCTGGATGTGCGTCTCCTCGCGTATATGGAGGCACACCAGTTAGACTTTCTTATGGAAGTTTGCCGGAGGACTGAGTCTGATAAAAAGGGTGGCCACATTGCGTATCAAACTGTCTTTGATGCGGGTGCGACGACGCCACGGCGCCGGTTTGTCCTTCGTGAGTCAGCGCAGTGTCTGAAAGAGGATGAGGCGTGCTTTCAGGACATTGAGAAGCATCGCTTTTTCAACACGAACAACTTATGGTTGAATCTTGTGTCCCTTAAGAAAACAATGGAAAGCCAGGGTGGGATACTCCAGTTGCCTGTGATTCGCAACGCAAAGACGGTGAACCCAGTGGATAGCACCTCGACAAAGGTGTATCAACTAGAGACGGCGATGGGCGCAGCCATTGGGTTGTTTGAGCACTCCGCAGTTGTGTTGGTCCAACGAGAGCGTTTTGCGCCTGTGAAGACGTGTTCGGATTTACTTGCGCTGCGGTCCGATGCTTATGTTGTCACGGAGGATCAGCGGCTTGTTCTTTGTGAAGAGCGAGCTGGAAAGCCACCGATAATTGTGCTCGATAACCAGCACTACAAGATGATCACTGGATTGGAAACGCTGGTGAGGGGAGGTGTGCCATCACTGCGACAGTGCACAAAGCTTACCATTCAGGGACCCGTGGTGTTCGAGAGTGGCATTGTGGTGAAGGGCGATGTAACGATACGCAACATGACGGGGAAGCCGCTCACCATTCAGCGCGACCGCGTGCTTAATAATGAAGTAGTGGAGGCGTAGGAGGAGTTTCATCAGGCCGTGAGACCGAAATTGATTGCGCCTTCACAAAAATAAGCGAAGAGGGGTGAGAGAGAGAGAGAGAGAGAGAGAGAGAGAGAGAGAAGAA